AGTTTTTGTAAGAAACTTGATGTGGTCGTATATTTTTCAGACGTGCTCATAGATCTTTAATATATTCCTGGCGGGTAATAGTTTATAGTTTTGGGACTTTTTTAAGGAACCAGTCATTGTAAGTCTGTATTTTTGTGTAAAGTATGACACTTCCTTTGAAAAAGGGTTTATTTTTATTTTTTCTCTTATAGGAACAATTGGCTTCTTTGCATGCTTTTGGTTTGTTACCAAAATATACAGTGTGGTGAAGGTTGACTGAAGAAGTCCAGTGTGTCCAGTTAAAACAGAAATAAATTAAACTCTTCATCAACAAAGACCTGTTTTTGTGACTACCTTGAGTTTTATCAGAATTATTGGCCTAGTAATCTTTCAGAAACACCGTAATTCTAAATACACCTCTTCCCACATACCTTTCCCCCATGAGATGTGTCTTCAACACTATAAAGCATTTGTATTGTGATTTGATTAAGTATATATTCGGTTGTTCTCAATGAAGAGCAAATTTAAATATTATGTGCATTTGTAAATACAGTAGCTATAAAATTTTCCATACTTCTAATGGCAGAATAGAGGAGGCCATGTTAAATAATACTGATGAAAGGCAGGACACAGGATTGTAAATAGGATTTTCTAGGCTCGGTAGGTGGAAAGAATTATTTTTCTTTGAAGGAAATGACTTTTTATCATGGTAATTTTGAAGGATGATTCCTGTGATGTGTTCACCAGGGGAGTGTGGCTTTTAAAGAAAATCTTGTATTGGTTGTAACTGTTCATATCTTCTTACCTTTCTGTGTTGACTTCATTATTCCCATGGTATTGGCCTTTTAAACTATGTGCCTCTGAGTCTTTCAATTTATAAATTTGTTATCTTAATAAATATTATAAAAATGTCTTCATTGCATCATTACCTATTATATGTTCAAGGAGGTTCTGTAAATACAGATCTATTTACCAAGGGTGTTTTGAAATGATTTATACTATGTTATCAGGTTTTACTGGATTTTGTTAATGTAACACTTTCTGAGTTTGGATCTGAATGGAATTTCAGTGTTTAAGGCATTGTCTAAAATGTTCGCTGTGGGGCAGTAGAGGAGGCTGAAGTCCTGCGTATCTAGACAGATGGATTATCCACAAGTACTTAAGGTGGGCCTTACTGCATTGTCATCAAGGAGCTTCTAGTTTTGACTTGTTTTTCAAAATATAGTATTTTAAGTCAGGTTTTATTACCTGTACATTAGCAGTGACTAGCAAGTCTTCATCTTTAGGATTTCATTGTTTTAATTTAATTTCACAAACAGTTTTACTTCTAAGAGTTAAGAAATGCACTGTCTTTCACATTCATCTCACTAATTGAAATCCATTTATGTAGAATATAGGCATGTGGGGTGATTCAGAAATATCAGTCTGCTTGTATCCGTGAGCATATTCATTTGTATTTTAGGGTCTCTGCTTGCTGCTTAAGAGAGCAAATCAGATACTGTCGTTAAACTTACAACTGAAATTACCAGCTGTCACTTACATGATGTTGCTGGGTTCTTACTGAACAATTTTTTTTTTTTTTTTGAGACAGAGTTTCGTTCTTGTTGCCCAAGCTGGAGTGCAATGGCGTGATCTCAGCCCACCACAACCTCTGCCTCCCGGGTGCAAGCGATTCTCCTGCCTCAGCCTCTCGAGTAGCTGGGATTACAGGCATGTGCCACCACGTCTGGCTAATTTTGTATTTTTAATAGAGACGGGGTTTCTCCATGTTGGTGACACTGTTCTCGAACTCCTGATCTCAGGTGATCCTCCCGCCTCGGCCTCCCAAACTGCTGGGATTACAGGCGTGAGCCACCACACCCGGCCTTACTGAATAATTTTATGTCACTGTCGTTTTTTAAGAAAACGGACCTGTTGGTTTTGAAGAGTGAAGGAGGAGCTTTGGTCATTTTTAATATGGAGTATTTAAGATAGAAGAGTTTCTTTTCAGTTTTATTTTATATATCTCTTGTATTTATTTTTTATGGGTAGAGTTCACCCTTAGTATTTATGGGAGATTGGTTCCAGGACCCTTGTGCTTACCAAAAATGCATGGATGCTCAAGTCCTTGGTATAAAAATGTGTGTCCAGTTAGAACAAATAAATTTGCAAATAATCTGTGTACATCCTCCCATGTACTTTAATCATCTCTAGTTTCCTTACAATACCTAATACCTCTGTAAATACTTGTTATACTGTATTTTCCATTTGTATTTTTATTGCATTCGTTTTTTAAAATTTATTTTCAAGCATTTTTGATCTGCTGTTACTGAAATCTGCATATGCAGAACCCTCAGATAAGGAAGGCCAACTGTGATTCTCTTAAGGAGCTGTTGAGATAGGCTGGTTGACTCAACAGAGAGAAGGTTTTACTTTTTAAAAATTCTGATTCAGATACCAGGTTAGTTTTTATTGACCAAAGTTAAGTTTCTTCAATTTTAGCTTTCCTTTAGTGAACAGTTAGCTTAGTGATTTAAAAGTCAGCTGATTGATTTGGTGTAACTTTTTCTTCTTTTTGTTTTGTTTTTTTGTGAGATGGAGTTTTGCTCTCGTTGCCCAGGCTGGAGTGCAGTGGCATGATCGGGGCTCACTGCAACCTCTGCCTCCCGGGTTCAAGTGATTCTCCTGCCTCAGCTCCCCGGGCAGCTGAGATTACAGGCACCCGCCACCGCACCCAGCTCATTTTTTGTATTTTTAGTAGAGATGAGGTTTCACCTTGTTGGCCAGGCTGGTCCCGAACTCCTGACCTCAAGTGATCCTCCCCCGGAACCTCGGCCTCCCAAAGTACTGAGATTACAGGCGTGAGCCACCGCACCCAGCCTTTTTCTTCATGTATTTAAGTGATCGTATTTCACACGTAAACAGTGGAGAGGCAATTGGGAAAATGAAATTGGAGGCTTAAAAGAAAAGACTTAGGAGGCAGGAAAGCGGAGGAAAGAGACAGTGACAAGGAAGGCGAGCCAAGTGAGGAGGGCGGTGGAGAAAAGACGCCTCTCCAGGGCTTGGATCCCGCTGTCCTGAGGGGTGCGCTGCTGTGGCTTTCCCAGAAAGTTCTCCAGGAAAGCATCCCTCGGCATGGCAGGCGGTTAGAAGCAGCGGTCCGTCTCCTTAGTTTGAGTATATCCCAGGACAGAAACAGTTGTGTTGCGCATGTTGTGAGACCCCAGTGACCACGAATCCCGGGGAGACGTCTTCTCCATGAGCGATGATAGCCACAGGCAGCTGCGAAGGAGGGGGACGTGTAGCCAAGACCGGGAAACTAGGTTACTGCAGTGTTTTCCTGCTAGAGAAATGGCCTTCTGCCATTCCCATGCCTTCTGTCTGCCCAGGTCATTTCTAGAGACCCAGCCGTGCTGCAGGGCCGTCCTGCTCGCTAGCTAAGGGCGGCATTCTGTCTGCAGCTGCCTCCTTGCCCGCCACATCAAGAAGGCCCCCCAGGCTTTCAGGCAGCACCCCAACTCCCTGGTGTCTCCCACAGTTTCTCCAACTGTGCTTTCACCTCGAGCTTAGTTACAGCCTCACCCCGCTTTCTTCCTGTCTATTCGAGAGTCTTTCCTCTACTTTCCCTTCTGTGTTCAAACCTTCCCTCCATGCTTTCCATTTTAAAACACGTCCAACTTTCTGCTAGATTTTTGTTTTGTTTGTTTGTTTTTAATGAAAACAACTCGTGTGACGCATTTCTCCCTCTTCTTGCCTCTCCCACCTGGCTTTGCCATCGGCTTCTTGCTTTCCGAGGATTCTGCTGGGAACCTTGTTGCCGAGCTCTCCAGCGCCCCCATCAACTGGTCCAGCCCTAATTTTACCAGCTCCTTGGAAACCTTGTGCTGAAAGCCATGTTCCTCATAGTCTGGGTCTGAACCTTCCGCATAGAATCCCAAGGAGATTGTCACAAATATGTCCTTGCCCTGCACGTGTTCTGGAGAAGTGCATTAAAACGGGAGATGCTGCTTACCCACTTCTCTTCCCTGCAATTCCTCCTCTGTCACAGTCTCCTTTGGGGGCTCCACTTCTGCCCCCAGCGGGAGTTGCTGCGGCCCTATTCCATCTTTCCCCCTTTGACCTACTTCTTACTTGGTGTCCTCTGTCCAGTTTCACTCTCGTGTTTAGTCATCGCCTCCATCTCCAGTCACAGCACCTGCTTGCTGCACAGCCTGCGAGGTCCTCGCGAACACTAAGCTCGTGGTGTACAAAAGTGAGTGCACCTGCCCTCCGTCCCCAGCTGCCGCTCCCCCAGAGGCCCGGAGGGGCCGTTAGCTGCTTCATCCCCTGAGCGGAGCTTCACAGGTCCCCTGGGTGCCCCTTTCAGTCAGTCACCGAGTATCCTCGAAGTCCTCAGATCCGTGACTTCCTGCCCGCCCCCTCCACCCCTGGCGCCTGCGGTGACATCCTCCTGGACCGCTGCAGCGACGCTTGCTGGTTCCCTGCTCTATGCATGTTCCTCTGCAGGGAAACCTAGAGCTGCCACAAACCACACCCCTGTGCTGTCCACCTCCCTCCGTGACCCAAGCCATCCATGTCAAACCACTTGCTCATGTCTATCCAGGAAATTACAAAAAGCCCTACTTGGCCGGGCTCGGTGGCTCACACCTGTAATCCCAGCACTTTGGGAGGCCGAATCGGGCGGATCACCTGAGGTCAGCAGTTCGAGACCAACCTGGGCAATATGGTGAAACCCTGTCTCTACTAAAAAATACAAAAACTAGCTGGCCATGGTGGCGGGCGCCTGTAATCCCGGCTACTCTGGAGGCTAAGGCAGGAGAATGACTTGAACCCAGAAAGCAGAGGTTGCAGTGAGCCAAGATCAGGCCATTGCACTCCAGCCTGGGTGACAAGAGCAAAACTACATCTCAAAAAAAAAAAAAAAAAAGAAAAAGCCCTCCTAAAGGTGTGACGAAAGCGTAAAAATTATAATCTTAAAACTTCTTAAAACACATAGAAGCGGTTAAGGGCTTCCTTAAGCAAACTATTTCAGACATTGGTCATATAAATTTGTTTTAATACACAAATTCAATTGCACATTGGAATTTGTAACAGATTTTGGTGACAAGTGAAGAAAACCTAAAAGTCTTTCAAATGTAGCTGCTTCAAAGTTCTGGACCACATGAGTCTCATGTTGTCAAACGCCTTGTTTCAGACCTGGTAAAAATATCAAGACAAAGCATTTTAATATAGATCTGTTTTAGGGGTGTGTGTGTCTATGTTTAGAAACAGGGTCTCACTCTTGCCCAGGCTGGCGTGCAGTGGTGCAATCACAGCTCACTGTAACCTCGGCCTCCCAGACTCAAAGCAGTCCTGCCTCAACCTTTCAAGTAGATGGGACTACAGGCCACCACTCCTGGCTTAGTTTGTTTTAATACATGTATTAGTTTGCAAGGGCTGCCATAATAAAGTAGCACAGACTGGGTGCCTTAGACAACAGAAATGTATTTTCTTACGTTCTGGATGCTGGAAGTCCAAGCGCAAAGTGTCTGCAGGTCTGGTTTCTCCTGAGGCTTGCAGACAGCCACTTCTCCCTGTCCCTGTGTCTTCACATGGTCTTTTCTCCATGCATGCACATCCCTGGTGTCTCTGTATGTGTCCCAATTTCCTCCTATGAGGACACCAGTCAGACTGATAGAGCCCACCTGTAATACATATGACCCCATTTAACCTGAGCCACCTCTTTACAGGCCCTATCTTCAAACACAGTCACATTTGGAAGTACTGGGAGTTAGGGCTTCAAATATGAATTTTAGGACACAATTTGGCCCATAATAATGCACTTCCTTCTAAAGATGCTGTATTAACTGAGAACAACAGGATTCTTTTTTTCTTTACCAGAATCCTTTCGGCAGTAAAGTCAAACCCATCCACTAACCCAAGCGCCACAGGGAATTCACTCTAAGATCACTGTTATGTCGGTGACCCCCGCCAGAAGGAACTCAGTGTCTAGCGTCTGGGGTGGCACTCCTCTGACCAGGGCCCCCACACCTGACAGACAAATCCTGGAGAGTAAAAAGGCAACAAGGGTATTGGCGCCATAATGAGGCCTCTGCAAGCAACTGCAGAATTATACCCCACGGAGGATAAAGGGTTTTTTCCTGGGCTACGTTTATGTTCTATAATCAGATAATTGTTTTATTTGAGAAGTCTTGCTTTTGATATGACCAAAACTGCTCAGGAAAAAAAAAAGCGGGCTTGAGGGGGTGGATGCAATGGCTCATGTCTGTAATCCTGGCACTTTGGGAGGCTGAGGTAGGAGGATTGCTTGAGCCCAAGAGTTTGAGACTGGCCTGGGCAACAAAGTGAGACCCCACTGCTACAAAAAAAAAAAAAAAATCGGCATGATTGCATGTGCCTGTGGTCCCAGTACACAGGAGTCTGACACAGGAGGATCACTCGAGCCCAGGAAGTGAATGCTGCAGTGAGCCCTGATTGCACCACTGCACTCCAACCTGGGCGACAGAGTGAGACCCTGCCTCAAAAAAATAAAAAATAATAAAAAATAAATCTCAGCTGTTTGGAAAGGTTTTTAAAACCTTTTAAAACCCTCAGAAATAAAGGTCTCTCCCTATGAATAGCAGGACATTCTGGGACTTCATTAATATATAAATGTATGTCATTAAGAAAATGTTTTCTCTGGCTGGGCAAAGTGGCTCATGTCTGTAATCCCAGAACTTTGGGAGGCTGAGGTGGGTGGATCACAAGGTCAGGAGTTCGAGACCAGCCTGGCCAGTATGGTGAAACCCCATCTCTATTAAAAAATACAAAAATTAGCCGGGCATGGTGGTGCATGCCTATAGTCCCAGCTACTTAGGAGGCTGAGGCAAGAGAATCGCTTGAACCTGGGAGGCAGAGGTTGCAGTGAGCTGAGATTGCGCCAGTGCACTCCAGCCTGAGCAACAATACGAGACTCTAAGACTCCATCTCAAAAAAAAAAAAAAAAAAGTTTTCGTATTTGTATTTTGTATCCTATAGCCCAAGTAGATGGTCGCCATAATTTCTCTGCCTACAGTTCTATATGTAGAAAATCATGCTTTTCTTTCTCAGATAGTTCGATGGAACTAAACCTGTTTTCTATGATTGATTTGTTCTCTCCTTTACTATGTAATTTGAAATCTAAACACTAAAAATCACTGTTTCTGCACATTCTCTAGCTTTTGGAATTCCACTGGATTTCTTTTTCTTTTCTTTTCTTTTTTTTTTTTTTTTTGAGACAGACTCTCGCTCTGTCACCCAGGCTGGAGTGCAGTGGTGCCATCTCGGCTCACCGCAAGCTCCGCCTCCTGATTCACGCCATTCTGCTGCCTCAGCCTCCCGAGTAGCTGGGACTACAGGCGCCCACCACCACGCCTGGCTAATTTTTTGTATTTTTAGAAGAGACGAGGTTTCACGGTGTTAGCCAGTATGGTCCCGATCTCCTGACCTCATGATCCGCCCGCCTCGGCCTCCCAAAGTGCTGGGATTACAGGTGTGAGCCACTGTGCCCGGCCTCCACTGGATTTCTTCACCTCACTCTCTTGAACTTTATATCCACATGTTCCAATTTGATTTTTTTCCCTTTTATTTTTTGACCTAATGATTATTTGACATTATCATTAATAATGAATTATTTGGCCAGGCACAGTGGCTCACGCCTGTAATTCCAGCACTTTGGGAGGTTGAGGCAAGTGGATCACCTGAGGTCAGGAATTCGAGACCAGCCTGGCCAACATGGTGAAACCCTGTCTCTATTAAAAATACAAAAACTAGCCGGGCGTGATGGTGGGCGCCTGTAATCCCAGCTACTCGGAAGGCTGAGGAAAGAGAATCGCTTGAACCCAGGAGGCAGAGGTTGCAATGAGCCAGGATTGCGCCAGTGCACTCCAGCCTGGGCGACAGAGCGAAACTCCATCTCAAAAAATAAATTTAAAAAAATATAATTAATTCCTTTATTTTGTGAAGAAGAAAGCATGGCTCTAAAAAGTCCTGTTATTTCCTTCAGATATTTTTAGCCCAAAGCGTTCTAGGCCTCGTGAATGGTGTTGACCATGATAAATAAATAGCACTATAATAGGTCACAGGTCATTAATTTCTCCGAAAAGAGTTAAATATGAGATATAAGTTGGAAATGATATATTTAAGGATTAGAGTCCACTTTTTTAAAGGTTTTTACTGATAACTTACAATTAATGACATTGTATACATTCGAATTTAAATCAGGTTTAAAAAGTATGCTAAACGTTTTGGGGTTAGCATTATTATCTAAGAAAATCATAGGCTGTCTAGGTCAGAGAGAACAAGGCTCCTCTGGCTCAGGCTAAAGTCAGACAAGTTGTGCCACAGTTGACTAGGACCATTTCATAGACAGTGGTGAGCTGAGGCAGTGACTCTGTTGACTGGGAATGGCTCATAGCCGGCTCTAAGCTGAAGTACTGATGCTGGCGTGAGCCACACTGCAAGGCACTGCCGCCGGCTTCCTGCTTCAGCAGTGCCAAGGGAAAGGAGCTGGGGACTTAGAACTAATCCCAAGACACCGCCGCGGGGCCACAGCCACACTACAGGTCCCCTCTCCGGTGGCCACCACCGCCAGGACCCAGAGCCACCTTCCAGACTCGCCACTACTCTGCTCTGGATGATGTGACTTGGAAGAACTTTGCCACCCCCTTGAGGAGAGGAGACGTGCTGACACACTGATGACACCACAGAATTGAAGTGGCACAATCTTCTTTCCGGACATCAGTAACCCAGGTGGGAAGGACTGGGAACACCTGGGTGCAATGGGTTCACTTCACGCTGGGGAAATGTGAATTGGTTGTTGCTGGAATTGCACAAACTAGCTCCGGCAAAAATCCCTTCCTACTTTGGCAAACATGCTGGCAGACAGTGACAACTAGATGTAGAGATGCGTGTTTGGGTTAGCTTTCATCATTCCAGAGCCATCCACCGCCTTCGTCAACCTCCTGCCCAACATATCTGTGGTGTGTGTGCACGAATGCGCACTCGTGTGTGCGTGTGAGAGTGTGTGTAAAGTGCAAGTGGAGGTGGCATGAAGGGACACAGGCTGTAGTGTCAGCTGAGGGTGTGTTTCACTCTGGCTCTAGGACCCCTGAGCATCTCAATATAGAGCCCTGGGCCAGAGGAATGTCTCCTATACTGCACTCCTAATACTTTAGAACGCCGACGTTTGCCAGCTCTCCTCCTATCTCAGATATCATGCATATTATTGTCTACCTCTGCTGGCCCGTCCTCCAAAATACATCACAAACTTCTCAAAGGCAGGAAGGGCCCCTTCTGTTCGTCTCTGGTTCACACCCAGGGCATAACAGTACTTTGCACATAGGAGGCACATATTCATTGACTGAAACTAGGACTTTAGATGAGAAGTGATACTGATTTTAAATCTCTCAATCGTCGTTTCATAGGATGATTTAAAGACACCATTTCAATATTTTGTTTAGTTCTCAGACTCTAGGACGTGCTATCTTGATTCCGTAAAATTATGTGTTTTACTGTGTGTCCACAACACCGCCTCGTACGCTTGTTCTACGTTCACTGACAGTTGTTAAAACACATCAGCACTGGCAGAACTTGGCCCGCTCCTCTCCACACTTAGCTGAACCGTTACCCATGGAACCAGCCCAAACAGAAAGCTACAAAGAGGCTAATTGAAATCAGAATGCTGGGTCACTTCTCACTCAAGCAAAACAGATGGCCCTCCTTGCCACACTTCTGTCAAACTTGAGGGGGAATGATAAAAAGCATTCTCAACTCCCACACACGCTGACTGGGCTCCTTAAAGGAATTATACATAGCTATTGAAATGTGGGGTGAGGGGTTCTTTCAAAAATCAAAGCTTGCTTTCCTTTCTTTTGAAGATTTAAGGAAAAGCATTTTAATGGGGATATTCAGTGGCTAAGGCTTCAGCTTAGATTCTGAATATTTTATTTATATTTATTTTAATTCAATTTTTCCTTTGGAATAGGTAAAATTCAAAATGCGCAAAAGAATAAAGAAAAAACTAAGACTCTAGTCATGTCCCAATCACCGAGGACTCTCCCCTGAAGACAGCTACTGTTAACCGTCTCCTAGGTATCTTTCCAGAAATTGAACCTTCTTTTTTTTTTTTTTTTTTTTTTGAGACAGAGTTTCACTCTTGTTGCCTAGGCTGGAGTGCAGTGGCGTGATCTCAGCTCACCACAACCTCTGCCTCCCGGGTTCAAGCAATTCTCCTGCCTCAGCCTCCCAAGTAGCTGGGATTACAGGCATGCACCACCACGCCTGGCTAATTTTGTATTTTTAGTAGAGATATGGTTTCTCCATGTTGGTCAGGCTGGTCTCAAACTGCCGGCCTCAGGTGATCCGCCTGGCTCGGCCTCCCACCAAGTGCTGGGATTACAGGCATGAGCCACTGTGCCCAGCCGAACCTTCATTTTTAACTTAGGTCCTTGAAACCCTCTTATTTGGATTCCTATTTAATGACAGTATTAATGCTATTTAGTTTCAAAACTAGTGTGTGGGCTTGTTTTTTGTTGTTTTTTGAGACACTGTCTCACTCTGTCACCCAGGCTGGATTGCAGTGGTACCATCACAGCTCACGCCAGCTTCAACCTCCCAGGAACAAGTGATCCTCCTGCCTCAGCCTCCTGAGTAGCTGGGACTATGGGCCTGCACCACCACACCTGGCTAATTTTTAAAATTTTTTGTAGAGATGGGATCTCCCTGTGTTGTCCAGGCTAGTCTTGAACTCCTGGACTCAAGCAATCTGCCCACCTCAGCCTCCCAAGTAGCTGGGACTACAGGCCTGTACCACCACACCTGGCTTTTTTTTTTTTTTTTTTTTTAAGTTTTTATAAAGACTGAGTCTCACTATGTTGCCCAGGCTGGTTTTGAAATCCTGGCCTCAGGTGATCCTCCTGCCTCGGCCTCCCAAAGTGCTGGGATTACAGGTGTGAGCCACCATGCCCAGCTGGTGTGTGGGTTTTTTAGAGGCAGCTGTGGATATTGTGTTCTTCCCATGTAAAGGATGTTCAGCACATTAATACAAAGCATTGCTGACAGTGTTACTACATGATGCCTCTGTGATACTGAATAAATATGTACAGCAGCATAAGCCACCTCTTAGGACCTGTTGGGGGAAAGAAATGAGTGTCTACAGAAATGTGAAGAGGAAACCATTGCTCCATATCTCAGCCACCCAGTTAGTACATCATGACAGCGTCTCCAATAAACGCATTGTCAGAACCCAACTAATCAATGCATCATCTAATTTCGCCCGTTGCTGCCCAGAAATGTGGCGCCTTATTAATGATCTCTGAAAAGCAATGTAAAAACAACCAGGGCCGGACGCGGTGGCTCACGCCTGTAATCCCAGCACTTTGGGAGGCTGAGCCGGGCGGATTGCCTGAGGTCAGGAGTTTGACACCAGCCTGACCAACAGGGAGAAACCCCGTCTCTACCAAAAATACAAAATTAGTGAGGCGTGGTGGTGCATGCCTGTAATCCCAGCTACTCGGGAGGCTGAGGCAGGAGAATTGCTTGAACCCGGGAGGCGGAGGTTGCAGTGAGCTGAGACCACGCCACTGCACTCCAGCCTGGGCAACAAGAGCGAAACTCTGTCTGAAAAAAAAAAAAAGGCAACCCGGTGTCTGACTGTGATGTACAGGTGCCTGTATGGACACGGGCCTTCCGGTTTTCTCCCAAGAGGGACGCTGTCCCGGAGCTTCCTCCCCCAGCCCCCGGTCTCATCTGAAAAACTGCATTTCGGGAGAAGTCTCCCTGAGGTTTAGTTCCACCCCAGCGTGAATTTCTTTTTCTTTTCAAACTCTATCATAATCAGGGCAGTTTTTTAAACCATATGAGTAACAGTGGAACGAGAAGCTTCTTTTTATATTAAAAACAAAAAAATCAGAGAATGAGTGTGGACAGGTGGGGAGGACAGGTCCTTCTCAGCACCCTCGAGGTAGCTGCCTGGAGGGGGCTCTGTCCTCCACTCACCAGGAAGCAGGGCGATGGCTCCCTTGCTGGCTCTGGGGCAGCCAGCCTGGGCTGGTTTGAAGGCAACGCCCTTTCACTGGGTTCGGGTTAGGGATAGGGTTAGGAATCTCCCCAACCTGTGCTCAGGTGGGGCGGGGCCGGGCGCATCCGTGCCTCAGGCATGGGCATGGGCATCCCATGCAGGCTCCAGGTTCCAGCAATGCCCCTACAACATCCTCCTGTGTCCCCAGGATGGCCCCGGGAGGCAAAGGCGCCTCCTCATGCTGGCTCAAGGGCGGCATTGGTGGAGGCTGCTCTGGGGAGAGGCCAACCCAGCACCGCAGCGCCCAGGGGTTGCCTCGCCCTGTTTTCCTGGGCAAGCATGGTCCAGGTTATTACCTCACATAGAAACGGAAGGAGATGCAGCCTATTTTCAAAGCTCTGAAGAATCTGTGCAATCTGCTTTTATCCTTTCTTACGTTACATTCAGATATTTCATCTTTAGGTTGCTATAGTGACATGTGAATAATTATATGTGAAATTCTGTGGGCAAGCAACAAGCGGTGGAAAGGGAATTGGGTAGAGATGTCACTTACAATAAGCCTGGACTACCTGTGACCCTCATCATGTTCTAGTCACACAGACATAATGCTTTGGCATTGGCAATATTTACGTTGATTTTACCAGATTTGCTATAATATTTAGATTTTCTATACATTATAAAGAGTAACGTATTTTTCTTTATTTTCCCCAGTCATAATGGGACCATATGGGCAGGACAGAAATTGTCAGAGGGTGTGACTCACTGGCAGAGGGGAGGGTATCTCCCCCTAATCTTGCTCTCAGGCAGCTCAGCAGGAGTAGTTCATTTTGAGGGTGCAAGTTGCTGATTGGGGGTTGAGGGGGAGCCTAAATCCCTTCCAACCAGAGGAAAGGATGGTTTTACTGTGGAAACCAGTTTGGAGGTTGACCTCATAGACTGGGAGCTGCTGGTTGAGAAGCCCAGCTCCACGGGTTTGCTGCTGAACATTTGAAAACACCAAACACAGGAGAGGATGCGGCAGTTGAAGGGTGACCTACGACGAAGTATGGGGAGGCCCCGGGAGGTCTCCTTTCTGAAGCCATCTCCCTGCCTCCCTGCCATTGTGCCTCTTGCGCTAGGAAAAAGCCAAATGGCCTCTTTTTTTTTTTTTTCTCCCAGCGTCTCGCTCTGTTTTAACAGCCCAGGCTGGAGTGGAGTGGCGTGATCTCCGCTCACGGCAACCTCAGCCTCCTGGGTTCGAGCGATTCTCCTGCCTCAGCTGCCTGAGTAGCTGGGGTTACAGGCACCCGTCACAACGCCCAGCTAATTTTTTTTGTATTTTTAGTAGAGACTGGGCTTCATCATCTTGGCCAGGCTGTTCTTGAACTCCTGACCTCAGGTGATCCGCCTGCCTCGGCCTCCCAAAGTGCTGGGATTACAGGTGTGAGCCACCGTGCCCAGCTGGAAAAGCCAGGTGGCCCCTTGATTGAAGTGGGCAGAGCCCTCAGTTCCTATGACTTGTTTTCTGGTCTGCACTGGGTGGAGCAGGAAGCCAACAGTACCATTGTCTGTGAATGCCCCAGAAGCCCCTAAGGGCAAAGGTTCCCAGTGGATGGGATGCCATGGGGGACATTCCAGAACTCTCTATGGGCAGTTTGAGACCAGCCTGGGCAATATAGCAACTGTCCTGCTGGCGCACAAACCCTCCTGCCTCCAAACACAATTTGATGGGCCCCTTGGCAAAGGCAGTTTTTAGAACCTACTAGGGGACTGGGGCGCAAGGAGAGCCTGAGCCAGGCCACGCCTCCTGGGGGAACATGGCTGAAGCAAGACCTACAGACATCTCCCTGAGGTGGCAGCCCGCGTTCAGAAGCGGCAGATCCAAGTCTCTGTGTGGCTGAGGAGAGGACATCCTGCTGGCAGCATGGTGCTCACCTGTGGGCCCACTGGCAGCATGACTTTGTAATTTCTTGGGCTTTCTGGAAGGTTTTGAGGTGTTGCCCCTGGGCTCAGGTGACCAGTTATTCTCCTAGGGAAGGATGGCCCAGCTTGTTGTTCAGTTCACATAGAAACGTAGGGTGGGCTAGGGAGTCAATGCAACTTCTCCACTTTCTCCCTGCCCTGTCTTTCTCCCCTTCCCATTCCCCAGAGAAAGAGCCAGCCGCAGAAGGACCCGGAACTCCACAATTGTTACATAATCAAAGCACGTCACTCCAAAGGAGACCAGAACCCAGCTCTCCTCCTTACCACCCCAACCCCAGCTAGTCATTTCTTTTTTTAACAGATAATTGTAGATTTATATGCAGTTATAAGAAATAATAGAGGCTGCACACAGTCACTCAAGCCTATAATCCCAGCACTTTGAGAGGCTAAGGTGGGAGGATCACTTGAGGCCGGGAGTTTGAGACCAGCCTGGGCAATATAGCAAGACTCCGTCTCTACAAAAAATAAAATAATTAGCTGGACATGGTGGTGAGCACCTGTAGTCCCAGCTACTCTGGAAACTGGGGTAAGAGAATTGCTTGAGCCCAGGAGTTAGAGGCTGCAGTGAGCTATGATTGCATCACTGCGCTCCAGTCTGGGTGACAGAGCAAGATCTTGTAATCTTGTAAATACATAAAAAGAGCACATTCTGTGGCTTAGCCCAAGAACTGTTATGCACAAGGAATAACTTGTTGGGACGAGCCATTGCCACATTGGCAGGGTCTTCCCGGTCTCTGCTTGGGTACTCTTATTTGTAGGCCTATCAGTTAATATGCTTTTGGAAAATTCTGGGATTTATTTGACTAGAGAAAATGGTAAAGGTCTAGGGTCGATGTTAATTGTGTCCCCTTCAAAAAAGATATGTTGAAGTCCTAACCGCCCAGTACCTCTGAACATGACATCATTTGGAAATAGGGTCTTTGCAGCTGTAATTAGCTAAGATGAGGTCGTACTGGAGTGGAACAGGTTCCTAATTCAAGACGACTGGTGTCCCTGTAAGAATAGGAGAATGCCGTACAACAGCTTAGACAGAGATCGGAGCCGTGCAGCTGCATGCCAAAGCAGGCCAAGGATTGCCAGCAAACCGTGAGACGCTGGAAGAAGAGAGAAGGATCTTTCCCTACTGATTTCACAGGGAGCATGGCCCTTGATCTCAGGACCTTGACCCCAGCACTGTGAACAAATCAATCTGTGGTTAAGCCACACAGTGCTGGTATTTTGTACAGCAGCCCTCGGAAACTCATACGGCAGGCAACCAATAATGTCCCAGGTCTAGTAAGTAATGAAATACACTCTGACGTGGGGATAGAATTGAAATAAAAATATCCATCTGAGGGAGCTCTAGAGCCTTCGCTTCCTGAGTCCTAATTTGACTGTAACCTAGAGGATGGACAAATAATAGCTGTTTTCAGGACAGGACTCTTAACCTCCTTTCAGTGGTTTTGATTATTTTTAGTTTCTGTTCTATTGACATTTGGATTCGGAGCACAAATGCCTTTATTGCACTGAATGCCTTTGACCTGAGGTGGGTTTTAGCTGAAAGTGCGGGATTCTGCGTGAGACAACACTGAATGACCCGTTAACCAAGGCAGACCGTTCTCCTGGTCGGGGCCAGGTGCTGGGGACAGTGTGACAAGAGCTTGAATGAAGACAACTCGCCCTCCCTACCTGCAAAATTTCACAATGAGACAGGAATCCTTATTTTGTATTTTTTCAGGGGGCAGGAAGCTGCAAAATATGCTGTCCTCTGGAAATCGCTATCTGGACCAACAACGTAGAAGTTCCCTCAACCTGTCCCTGACTTCCTGCCGCACCTCTGAGCTCTTTGGCTTTTGTAGACATTCGCTTCTTGGAACTCTGCTGACCTTGTGGGTCCCCAGGCGTCACCTGAGAACTGGTTAGAAACTCAAAGTCTCAGGGCCTCCCCAGACCTGAATCAGCTCTGCAGGTAGGGACAGCAGTCTGGGCTTTGAGAAGCCATGGGCGGATTCTGATGCCCACTCGCGCCGTTTTGCTTCTGTGTTTACTCCCCACTACAGAAACGAGGAGCCCACGGATGCTTGAGCGCCAAAGCTTCCATCACGGCTGCCCATGGCTCTGCACTGTCTTCATTCTTCCCTGCTTTTTCATTATGTCCCGTCCGGGCTCATTCCTCCTTTATCCCCCTGTTTGTATGTGTGTCTGCATGCATTCATTCATTCATCCATTCATTCATTCAGCAGGCTCTAGAAAAGGATATCCTATAGTAACTACGGTGGATGAGTCTAGATGGGTCTGCAGCTCTGAATATTTGTTGGTTAAGCTCCAAGGAGCAAAGAAACATATATATTTCTGTGAAAGAGGGAAACGAAGCAATGAAAAGTAAGAGACAGGAAATTGTCCCAACACCTTGGCTCCATGGGGCCTCAGGGTGCCCTCCATGACGAGTAGTGACTCCCAGCAGCTCCCGCACAGTATCAGGCATCCTTTGCCACTGGCTCTAGGAACCCCGGCACACACGTGTCTCGGCTTCTACTGTGACTATTTCTGCTTCTCCTCAATGTTGCTGCTTCCTCCTAGGTTTGGTTGCCACGAGGAAGCTGTGTCCTGGATTTTCTTGTTTTCTTTCCGTTCCGGCTGCCAATACCAACTTCCTCCTCTCCATCTCACATTCAAAGAGCACACAGGGAGGCTCGAATTGGGTCTTTCTACGTCCCGTTTCTGTACAGAGCTCTTGCGTTTGGGTGGGGCCTTTGCACCGTGACCAGCCTAAGATCAGCACCAGCCCCTGGTCCAATCAGCTGTGGCCAAGGCCCTTGAAGCCACAGGCAAGACGCTCCTGACAGTTGTGTGGTTCACAGAGGTTTCTGGGTGTGATGGGGGCTCAGGGAACATCAGCCCCCAATCTGGGTAAGAAGAGAAGTCTGGAAAGAAGATACAGCTTCGAATAAGTGGTGGTACGCAATGCCTCAAGTGTAGTAACATTGCTCAGGGAAAGTGAGTAGAGAGAGTGGAAAAGTGGAGCCCCTAGTATCACCAGCTTAACCCATGGGAAGAAGGTCATTAGGAGAATGACCTTCCTTCATTAGATGAAGGTCATTAGGAGAATAGAGCAACTAACCTTTATTGAGCACCTACTATGTGCCAGGCTGTATGTCTTGGTGCTTTACATAAATTACTTTATTTATTTATTTATTTGTTTATTTGTTTATTTCTGTTTGAGACAGGGTCTCACTCTCACCCAAGCTGGAGTGCAGTGGTGCAATGAATGCTCACAGCAACCTCGACCTCCTGGGCTCAAGTGATCCTCCCATCTCAGTTCCCAAGTAGCTGGAACTACAGGCTGTGCCACTACACGCAGCTAAGTTTTTCTATTTTTTGTAGAGATGGGGTCTTGCTATGTTGTCCAGGCTGGTCTCAAACCCCTGGTATCAAGCAATCCTTCCAGCTTGGCCTCCCAAAGTGCTGGGATCACAGGCATGAGCTACCACACCCAGCCTATTTATTCTTAAAACAACACTGCAAGCTACGTATTATTATTATTATCCCAAATTTGCCAATGAGAAGGCCGACCAAGCTCACAGAGATCAAGGTCATATCACTTGTAAAGGGCAGAGCTGGGATTTCAATAGCTTTGTCCAACTTCAACAGCTTTGTCCAATCTCCAGTAGCTTTTTACTCTTCCTACAGTATATGAACCACATTGGCCTCAAAAGAAATGGTCTGAAACACAATGGGGAAATCAGGGAGAATAATGTTTTCGGAAGGAGGTGATTAAGAGAGGGAAGTCCTGTCAGCTGCCTCTTTGGACAATTAGGAATTTGTCAGTGAAATGTGTATTTCAATTGGGAGAGTCAGATTGCAATGAATTGAGGAGATGAGGCAAAGGAGAGAGTGAAGGTCGGCTGTGAAGGGTAAGAAAGACAGGAAAGGTTCGTTTTGTGGTGTTGTTTGTTGTTTTACTGTAAGGATGGTGTAGCCGCCAGGGCCCAGTCAGGAGACAGAAAGCACACCGGTAATGTGAACAGGGAACATTTAATGTAAAGAGTTCTTAAGTTAGTAAAAAGGGAATTAACTACCATATTCGGATTATTCAGAGAAACAGAACCAATAGGATATGTCTACCCATTATATATAATCTATGTATCTATTAAGCAGTATCTGTATATATAGATATATAATATATAGACACATATTACAATACTAGTGTTGTATGTAGATATAAAGAGAGATTTATTATAAGGAATTGGCTAACGAGAGTATGGAGACTGGCAAGTCCCAATCTGGTGGCCCAGGAAGGGTGACGGTGTAGTACCAGTCCAAAGGCTGGCAGTCTCGAGACCCAGGAAGAGCCAATGTTTCAGTCTGAGTCCAAAGGCAGGAAGAATTCCCACTTACCTGGGCCAGGGTCAACCTTTCTGTTCTATCCAGGCCTCCAGTGGATTGGGTGAGGCCCATCCACATTGGGGAGTGTGGTCTGCCTCACTCAGTCCACCAATTCAAAGCTGCGTCTCCTCCAGAAACGCCCCCATAGACACACTGGAAAAATATGTGATCAAATATCTGGACATCCTGTGGCTCAGTTAAGTTGACACATAAAATTAACCATCATAACTAGTAAAAGGAGTAAAAAGAACCCTAACCAATACAGCAATAGATCAGGCATGGTGGCTCATGCCTGTAATCCCACCAATTTGGGAGGCCAGGATGGACAGATCTCTTGAGCCCAGGAGTTCGAGACCAGTCTGGGCAACATAGGGAGACGCTGTCTCTATAAAAAATTAAAAATTTAGGCAGTCATCGTGGTGTACGCCTGTAGTCCCAGCTACTCAGGAGGGTAAGGTGGGAGGATCGCTTGAGCCCAGGAAGTTAAGGCTGCAGTGAGCTGTGATTGCACTACTGCACTCCAGCCTGGGTGACAGAGCAAGACCTTGTCTTGCACACACACACACACACACACACACACCCCGAAATAGAGGATTACAGCAGCAGCTGCAACAGCTCTTATCTTCTCTGGCCCTCTTTGACATCTCCCTTTCACTTCCAGAAACATGGCCTTCAGTGTGGCTGTCTCTGATGGTGACATCAAGGTGTCCAATGACGTGAAGGCACACAACTTGGTGACATCAGAGGAGTTGAAGCAGTGCAAGAAGGTAGTGCTCTTCTGACATAATGAGGCCAAGAAGAATGTCGCCCTGGAAGGGGC